TTTTATCTCAAAACCAATTGGCAATGAGAGGAGTAGCCCAACAGGTATTTAAATCATTCTCGAAATAATGAGATAGACGATGTGAGACTTACTTCCCAACAACATCTATACTAGTTAGGTTCCATCCGAAGTTGTTGCACCGGGAATTGCTTAGGGTGGATGTACTTTTTAAATGAAAGGTATAAAGATAATCAAATTGAAGATGGGGAGGTTGATGCTTTCTGTTCCCGAGTCCATTTTATCCACTTTTGAGTTGACATGGATTGTGACATTTATTTAAAAATGGAAATGGTGCATAGGATATAAGAGAAGTAGTAGTACTATGGTTAATGGTTATGCATTCTATTGGAACATAGATTGTTGTTTTTATAGTAGTTGAGATTGTAGTAAGAGCTATTGTTCTTGCATTAAAAAAATAAAGTTTTTCATCCTTGTATAAACAAACAATAAAATAAGGGGTTATCATCTATATGAAAAATAAATGTTATCATTCTTAGGGTTCTAATTGACTTTCTTGAACAATAGATGTTCCCTTTTTCATGACAGTTCCTTAGGCCAAGTAAAATCCTAAAGTATGTATGTCATAATCCTTAAGTTTTTATTGTTTAAGGTTTATTTGGCAATGGAAGCTGGTTACACAGAGAAAGTTGACGAGTGGTGTGATCTGTACTCTCTAGGCAAGTTTTTGAATATTAAAGGTAAGTCATTTCAATTGTTATTGACGAATTTTGGTTAAAGGAACCTTCAATTTTAGGAAAATTCAATGGTTTAGATCAAACCACTAATTTAGACCATTGAATTTTTCTAGAATTGATGATTAAAATTGTTGAGTAAATTTTAATGATGAAGTAAACTGTTGTTATTCCCATAAACAATATAATAATGAGTGATATACTATATTACGAGATAAGATATATAGAAATGAGTTGAAGGAATAATTTCTGAGACATATTTTATTGACCCATTTTTTTAATTTAATTAATCGTTATGTCTATTATCCACAATTTATGATCCATTGCTTTATGTGTTTCAGTACCTGAAACAAATATTCAGCAAGGACATTATTTAGATCTTGATGAACTACTTGTGAAAGACATCATTTGGGTTGATGAAGCTGAAAGTTTGCTTGATGCAACAAGTCACATTGAGGGTTTTAAAGTTATAGGTCTTGATTCTGAGTGGAAACCGAATTATGTAAAAGGCAGCAGGCCTAATAAGGTAAAATAAAATGGTCTTCGTGATATATTATAAGTTTGAGTTGTATGAAATGAATTATGTTTATTTGTTTAGGTTTTTGCTTCATCTGTCCTAAAAAATTCTTGTCTAAATGTCCAAAATCAATTATATTGCATCAAGTAATCTAAAAAAAATATTTTTCTATTTTTTAAATTTTCATATTACTTAAGTGGCAGTTTTTTAGTGGGTTGTGACACATTGTGACACCATTTTTAGGACAGGTGATATCCATTAGTTTTTGTCTCTCTATCCATGCTATGACATATTTCTAATTAGAAGTTGTCTTGATCTGTTGTTTTTCTCTCTCTCTTTGATTTTCCATGTTTCAGGTTTCTATCTTGCAAATCGCTTCTGAAAATATGGTTTTCATCTTTGATCTGATAAAGTTACACAAAATGGTGCCTGATGTTCTAGACAACTGTCTCACTCGCATTTTTTTGTCACCTAGAATTCTAAAACTTGGTATGAAAAAAAAACAAATCATGTGAATATAACAGCAATAAGTACTTTTTGTGAACATGTCTGATCCCAAAATTTTGTGATATGGTTATTTTAACTTGAATGAGAATACCACTACTCATGGGATTGGATGTGTGTTATTTTCTTAAGCTTCATTGTAAGGGAACTTGCTCACACAAACGAAGCATGTTTTTCACTTGTTGTTTACTTTGTCTGAAGTATTAAACATTGTTGCTTTGTGGCCTATATTTTCAGGGTATAATATCCAATGTGATATAAAGCAACTTGCTTTCTCATATGGAGAATTGAAATGTTTCAAGAACTATAAACTATTGTTGGACGTCCAAAATTTTTATAAAGAAGGTTGTGGTGGTTTGGCTGGGCTTTCACAGGTACTGTATCTATGAGTGCCTCATCCTCATAATCAAACTTGTTGGTTTATTCAAGTATGAAGTTCCACATTAGATATGCGGGGAGGAGTGAAATAGTTTATAAGTAAAAAAGGCTCATACAACTTTTGCTTATTTTGACATAAGTCATGTTATTTGTAAATCAGAAAATTCTGGGAGCTACTTTAAACAAAACAAGGAGAAACAGCAATTGGGAGCAACGACCTTTAACTCCAAATCAGGTAATTGCTCCCTCTTCTTTGCTTTTCATTAGTTTCCTCCTCTTCTTCATAATTCTTCTTTGATTCTGCATTGAGTGGATTGAATCAATGTGTTTTATTTAAGATGAAACCTTGCAGGTTTTGATGATTGTTTTATAATCCGTTTGAACCAACAACTCGTTCAATAATCTAACAAGGTTCTATTTGTGCAGCTAGAATATGCTGCCCTAGATGCTGTTGTTCTTGTTCATATATTCCATCACCTTCCTAGTCACGCACATGATAAATTTGAGTGGAAGTCTTACATTGTAAGTGATAATATCCTTTACAATTTTCTTTATGTTCTTTAGTAGTTTCATTATTATGGTATGAGGTTCTGAGCATAACATTAAAAGGCAAGTGAACATTTCCCATGCACAAGAGTCCCATCTTTTTTGAAGAAAAATAAAAAGAATGTTTTTGAAGAATACCAAGTCAATCAGAATGTTCCATTCAATTAAAAAGAAAAATAATAAAATAAAAAATTAATATTTTAATATTATTTTGTGAAGTTTGATTTGTTGAGAACATGAGAACAAAAAAATTCTGCCACAAATAATCATTTTCCTTTTTTTTTTTTTCAGTAATCACTTAATAACTTTTACTGGTTTTAACTATCATTCAGGTGTCCCACACGGAAATCAATAAAAAATCCAATAAGAATGTGTCTAAGAGTTGAAAAGACTGAGAATGAGACCAACAATCCTTGACCTTGAACTTCTGTTCGGTTGATTTTCTTTTAATGTATGTATGCAACTACGAATATTGGAAGACAAAAATGTTATGATTTGTGGGGACAAAATGGGTTATACTTTATGAAGCTAAAGATTTGAATAAGAGTGTAATATCTATGCATTGTCAATGCAATATTTATATACAGTCATCCACCACTTTGGAATGGAAATATGTACTTTGTTCTTTCTTTAAGGATTCTTCATTTAGTAGATTGTATGAAAAAATATCCATTTAGATATGTTCATCTAAGACTAAGTTGTTGAACGTGACCACTAATTTGTCCAAACTTTCAGTCAACGAACTGAGTAGCACTTAGTAACAGAAGTGTTTGCAACTCATCATCTTTATTTATATCTATCTTTGTCAATTGATTGACAAGACCCTTGAATGAATTATAAGTGCTTTGTCATACTCTCACTATCTTCATAGTCGAGTTTCCCCAACCTTCTTACCAAAGATGTTTCGTTTATGGGAGTTTTCTTTTGAATCTTAGATTCAAATTTCGACCATAACTCAAACATTTGTGTATGTGTGAGCACATCCTCACACAAACTTTTATCAATATACTTTCGAATCATTGCAACAATTTTTCGATTCGAAATCTCTCAATCTTTATCAGTCTTACCTTTTGGCTTGTCGTTGCAATAAATGGTCCATGCATATTCTTCTAGTATAAGTGATCATTCATCATGTGTTTTTCTTGGAGTATAAGTGATCATTCATCATGTGTTTTTCTTGGAGTATAAGTGATCATTCATGATGTGTTTTCAATAGGAATAGTTATCAACTGACAACTTGAACATGAATACATCAAATGAGACGTTAATGACTCATTCAATCATAAATTACATAGGTTAATCTCTAATACCAGTATTGGGAAATTCAAAATCATTTTATGTATTTCATGTGATGCAAAATGAACACTTATAGAAAAAACAAAAATGAACAAGTAAAATGGAGAAAATTAAAAAAAATGACACCGATAATTTTAACATGAAAAACCCACTTCAAATTGAGAAGTAACAATCACAATATCTAGTCTAGAAATGTCTCCACTATATAAAGTAAAGGATTACAATATATGATTATCTATAAGAGGATAATACTCAATCTCATCCAAAAATGATTGATTACAAATTATGTTTAGTATATCTCTAGGAATATTAGTCTTACACTAAGGTGAATGTCAATTCTCTTACTTACTCTCTATGTTGCTCTTGTCATTTGCTTTTTCCTATATTATTTCTCACATATTCTTTTTTATAGTGAAGATGAGGAAAACTTCATCATAAAACATAGTGAGTGATTATCTCTTGTCAATACTTTGAAGACACCTTAAAATGTTACTCCAACTCTCTAGGTTGAACTTTCATAATCTTCAAGAGCCAATAGATAATTCAAAGACATTGGAATGATCATCATTAAATATATACAATAAATCTCCTATCAATGTTCATTGATCATACTCTATCATCAATTAGGAAAAAATCCCCAAATAATTAATAATATGTTAATATAAGGTATGATACATTACATATCATGGTGCTTTCCATTAAACCAATATTGTTGTGTCTTTCTCTGATATGTATTGTGTAGTAGATTCCATTAAGCCATGCATAAACGCACTAAACTACTATTAATATTTTCATTTAAAATGAATGTGCTTGGTATGGGACCTTAGGAACTTTGGGGGTACAATATGATTTAAGGCAACAGTCATGTACATAAGAAGGAAACTACGACTATCAGGTTGTAAAGTGTATAAAATTCAAATATGCACATAAAACTATTTTAATAAGTAAACCGCTGCTGCAACCAAAATAAGTAGATAGAATCTTATCAAAAGTGTTAAATTGTGAGATTTGTTTGTCTCTGCTTCGAAGTGGAAATAGTGGAAAAAAAAAGAGAAATTAAAAGAAAACGATTTTAATAAAAATGGAGATGCGGGGTATCGATCCCCGTACCTCTTGCATGCTAAGCGAGCGCTCTACCATCTGAGCTACATCCCCATGTTTTTCTTAGTAATAAGACTAATCATTTTCAGAGTGTGTGACTACCATTCTCAACAAATATCGCTTTCAGGAAATATTAAAGCTATTTAGTAAAATAAATTAAAAAAATCAATTGCTAAACTAACATAAGACATGAATTGAATTTACAATTTTTTAAGCTTTAGTCTACATTATAAAAAGTTGTAATATTTATTTAGAGAAAAACATTACATTTTTTCTATGAAATCATTAAAGTATAGTTGACTTCATAAACCACATTTTTTACTATATGTGATATTACAATCTTGAAAGCCCACTGTGTTGAAAATACCATATACAGCAAAACCCAAAACCAAGAATCTGCCAACAGAATTAATTATCCAAGTCACTAGTCACACAGTCACATAGGCATCACTCTACAAATAAAATGAATAAACTGATAATACTGAAAACAAGAGAAAGATAAAAATCATTATCCATTTCCAAAATGTCTGAAGTTGCTGAAAATGAACGTAGAATTTTGGTGGCAATTGATGAAGGTGATGAGAGCATTTATGCACTGTCATGGTGCCTAAAGAACTTAGTATTTCAAAATTCCAAAGATACCCTTATTCTCCTCTATGTCAAGCCTCCTCGTGCTGTTTTCTCTTCCTTTGATTACCCAGCTGGTACTAGTAATCATGAGTAACTTCAATTTCTACATCCCCTCTTTTTATATTTATATTATCCATTAATGAGATATAAGTGCTTCAAAAATCAAAGAAAAATGCAATATTCAAATATACATATATCTCTTTGATTACAATGAAATTATACTTTTACCATAATAAAATAAAGAAAATATTGATATAAACTTTGTGTTTTAGACTTTGTAATTACTGCTGATGTAATGGCAAACATGGATAAGCATAGCCAGCAAGTGGCTGACCGCGTCATAGAGACAGCTACGAGATTGTGTAACAATATCCAAAATGTACGTACCTTATCAATTATTATAATTCAATCGATTATGCTTAAAAAAAATGATATTTTTTTTTGTAGTTTTGAATATAACACATGTTTGGCTATGTTGAATTATTAATATGACTATTATGATTTGGGTGGTTAAGGTGGAGATGAAGGTAGGGTATGGTGACCCTAGAGATGTGATATGTGAGATGACTCAAAAGTTGGGTGCTGATATATTGGTCATGGGTAGTCATGGCTATGGTGTCATAAAGAGGTAATAATAATGTACCCTTCATTGTATATTTCTTTATCTATAAGTAAAATTGTGAAGTTGATTTGTTTTGCAATGATTTTAATTTTGCAGGACTTTCCTTGGAAGCGTAAGCAATCACTGCGCACAGAATGCTAAATGCTCCGTTTTGATTGTGAAGAGGCCAAAATAAGCATGTGATCTTTCGGACAGAGAAGGGTGCATTATTATTACCTCTCTGTTGCAAAACTATCATGTATGTTTGTTCTTATTCAATAGAATTACACCAAATAATATAAAATATTAGATCTTAATTTTATAATTTTTTTATTTAATTAAATGATACATTATGATTGGTATGAGATATTATTATATACTCAAACAGGAACAACAAATCTGCATCCCTGATCTTTGTAATACTGTTCTTTCCGTCAATAGTCGAGTTGTTTTCAGTCACTTATGTCTCATATTTGTTCATAAATACGAGGCAGAAATTAATAACTACACATGTTTCGTACCAATGGCATTATTGGTGGAACTAGAATATGACTGAAGTCTAAGCAATTTAATATATAGATGAAAATCTTTATACATATCATATAAAATAATGTTTTATCAATTAGATATTATTTAATACGTGTTATGCAAAAGTCACTTTATAGTTCATACTGTCGTACTCTCATAAAAAGATTTTATCATGTCAGGTTTTAGTTCGGGTGTAAAGTTATTAACATTCTCATTTGTATATTCCACGTTACACTAATTCCACGTAGATGCTTTCAGTAGTTTCCCCCTTAACTTAGGTGGAAAAAATTGCGGGTAAAAAACCATTTTAAGCAATATTTTGACGCAAATTTGACAGAATTACCAACTCAATTGATCAAAACATAAAAATCATAAATAAAAAAGTGGACATTTTTCCTTTGTCAAACAAGATTGATGCAACACCTCAAGTTTTTGCTTGCAGATTTAAACGGTTTACTTATCTAGAAGAAAATTCCTACAACTAAACGGGGTTATATAGAAGAGGGTACAAATTACAGCCTCTCCCCTGAAAATAACTTTTATTGCTGTGTATTCCCTTCGCTAACTCCTTAGAGCTCATCCTGCAAATAAAAGGCAAATGAGGAGAGAATTATAAAACAGATAGTTGACAAACATGACTCATGTAAAGTTGAGGGGGTGTAAAACATACATGAGCATCCTCTTCCTTGGCTTCACCATCTTTTTTGGCTTCACCATCTTTCTTGGCTTCACCATCTTCCTTGGCTTCACCATCTTCCTTGGCTTCACCATCTTCCTTGGCTTCACCATCTTCCTTGGCTTCAGTTTTCGAGTCAGCATCAGAGTCATCGGCATCATCAGCATCTTCCTCAGTCTAAAAAGCATATTCAGTTCATTAGGAACCATGTGATAACTAATGATGGACCAAAATTTTGGTATTAGTAGTTCCACTTACATCGGAGTCAACTGGATCAGCCTTTTTTTCCTGATGAAGAGTTAAAAAGGGAAATTATAAGAAAAAATCAAAACAAAATTTGTAAAACAAAAGTTTCTTCCAAACTCTGGTGGAAGAAACAATGTCAACAAGTATTACCTCCTCCTCTTTCTTCTTCTCTGCCTCTTCAAATGCTGCCTTTTCAGCCTGCAAGAATATATTTTCATTAAAGAGATCAAATCTTTCAACAAAATACCAAGACTACAAGATTACGTGAATAAACAGCTTACATCCTTCTGCTTGCCCCATGTTTCTTCAGCAAGTTGCTTAGCATATTCAGTATCATCGGTTATTAAAACATTGTCAAACAAGGTACCGGATTTCACCTGGCAAATCGATCATTTTACTAGTCAAGATTTTGGATACAAAATCTCAGCTAATGTTTTTTAGTAAACAAAATGAAAACTTTACCTGCCACAATTCAATACCCACATACTTCAACTTGGGGAAAACATAGAGTTCAGGGTCATCCTTGAAATCTGAAAGATATATTCTTCAAATGTTACAGTCATTCTTAATTCAATGGATAACTAGCTATGCATATTCTAGAATAAGAGAATGTGTATATATTTATTAAATAAGAGAATGCATATAACTACTACTGTGAAATAAGGACAATTGTAAACCTGGGTTGTCAATAAGTGGTGCCTCCCACCATCCTTGGTAGTTAGGGTTCTTAATTGTCTGAAGAGATACAGCACTGAAAGTCAGACAATAAATCCATTTCCAAACACATTCCACAAATTCAAAATTCCACAAACCTTTGGTTCCCATGGGCCATTGTATTCAGGGTTGGCAATGGTAGGTGTTGTCCACTCACCATCTTCCTCATCATCCCAGTCTTCAGGCTAGAGAAACAATTTATCTTATCAGTAACTAAGACAAAATGTTAGATATACATTATATAGAACTGGGAAATAATAAAGCGATGCATACCTTCTTGGCATCAGTGTCTGGGATCTCTTCTGGGATGTCATCGTAACCCTGAAAATAAAAGATGTCAGTACATTACAAAATAGACTTATAAACTTCATACAAGTACAATATGTGAATCTTTTTAGGAAGTGTATTACCTCTGGCTTCTTGTCCTCAGGGTCAGGAATAAACTCTTTGTCATCCCAATCTTCCGGCTGTGAGTATTATGATAAGAAATTATCAATACCTAAATCTAATATGAGAAATAATCCAAAACAGAAAAGCAGTAGGTGAAATACTCTTTTGGCCTCAGGATCCTTGATTTTCTTTGGAGGAAGAAGATCCCAATCCGAGTAGAGACTACCGGTTTGCTTCTCCACATTATCAATCAAGATGCTGTAGGTTGCATCAGGTCGGAGGATAAATGTGTAGACATGAGTGAGTTGGTCAGTCTCACAAGGAACATCCTTCTTGATCAAGTGGTTTGTGTCATTGTAGGTGAGAATTGCATGTACTTTCTTGGTGCTGTGACCACAGACATCTGGGCCAAACATGATACTGCAACAGAACAACAAGTATTAAAAAAACAATTTTAACATACGTAAGTAAAGCATACATAGAAAAAAAGAGGAATGATACAAAAGGTTATATATAAATCACCTGTAAGGAGTGTCCCCACCAAATTTCTTCTGGTCAACATCACCAGAAAGCAACTTCAAGTAACCACCACCACAGTCAAGTTTCTGTTCATGCTTGACAGAAAATTGGAAGACTAGTGTCTTATCCTTATTGCTGAATTCAGGATACTCAGCAGAAATAGCATAGAACCTGTAGTCTTCACTTGTTTGAATACCTGTAGAGGTATCAAACATTCAATCAAAACGTACCTTAATATCAAGATAAATGTAAAATTAAACACTATAAGGCATAATATACATGGTTATTCAGCATATAATTCAGTTTACCTTTGTCATTGGCATCTCCATTCCATTTACCAGAAGTGTAGTTCCACTCCCCAGCCAAATTCTCATCTCTCTTCCAATCAGATTTAACCCATCGACTTTCCCATCCATCTTCAAAAGCATCATAATACACATAACCATGAATTAGAAACACAAAAATACTAATATAAGATTAGAAAGACACAAACGAACAAAAAATACGAGCTTATAAATAAAAATGTAAAGTTCTTAAAGTAGTTTATAGACAATGTACAATGTAGGTATATAAATTAAAATATTTACAATTGATAAAAATGACAACATCGCATTCACCACACCAGCAACAACAATATCGACCAAGCTAAGCCTTAACCAAACAGAATCTTAAAAAAAACAAGAAAATAAAATAGAACCAAAACGGTAAACACATTCGCCGATCTACTCCAAAATACAAATCAAACATTAAA